TACACCCCTGAAGATATAGTCAATCAAGGAGGGGTTCCTCCTAGAAGTGAGAAGCCCTGGATCTGTTTTAATGAGCTTCCATCCCCGGTACTAATTTTTTTTTAATTATACATACACACATTATTTTATATATAAGTGCGCAGGTATGCAGAAAATAGAAAAAAGAACACGTTGGGCTCTCGTTTTTTGAAACATGAGAACTCTTATGTAGTGAAGGAATCATTTTTAAACTAAAATATTATATATATATATATATATATATATATATATATATATATATATATATATTAAAGACAGTTTTATGTTTAACATTCTTTTTATAGATACAAGTATTTAAGTAAATGCTCTGTTTATAATAAACAGTATTAAATAACATTTACTGGCCTGAATGTCCGAGAATTTTCATAGAAAATATTCGTCCTTTGACAGAATTCAGAACCTGCATCCTATACTGAACCGTCATTTACGCAGACGTTTACCTTGACCGCTATAAGAATGTTCCGTATAAAAATGAATTTTAATAAATAAATTGTCGGACTTTGTCCATTTCTTAATATATATACAAGTGTTTTTTGTTTTAATAATTTTCTCTAAAATGTAATATGAATGCTCTTGTCAATTAGAAGACTGCATCTCCAGCACGAATACCCAAAATATATGAAGTAGGTGCTGAAAAGTTCTCAAACAAAAAGCAAATGATTATGAACCCTGTAATGTATATGCTATTCACCTGATACAGGTCAGTATACTTGTATATCATTTCTCAGATTTCTTTACCAAAAAGAAATTTAATGTTTTGTCACTCAAATGTTAATTTTTAGAAGAGGTCAAACTGAAAATATTTCAAAACTACATTATACATTGGCCACATAACTACAAGGTTATCATGTCATTTATCAAACAACAGCACCAAGAAATTTTATATTAAACTTGTATTACTCAACAAAGTCACTATATTCTTATCAATATTAGACAAATACTTGCATGTCCCTGGACGTAGGCGATCATGGCTCTCCACAACTTCCTGTCCCCTGTAGCTCTTAATAAATTTCATCTGTTATTTCTCCTAAACCCTGTTCCGCTACACATCTACTCAAGCTCAATAAGTATGTTGTGCATTGTTTTCCTCTATCCCTCTTGCCTTCAAGCTGTCCTGTGAGTAGCAAATTTTCCAAGCCCTCTTTCCTCATTCCTCTAGAAATTTCAATTGTTGCTTCAACTCTCTTCATCAGTGAGGAGATTGTCCATCATTCACTGCCATACAGGAGGACTGATATTACATAAAAGTTTAGTAGTCTTTTCCTTGTGCAAGCAAATAAAATACAATGGTTCGAAAACTTATCTTCTGACTTCAAGTTTTACAGAAATCGATCCACTTATCAAGGGTTGGATAATTCAATTGAAATTATTAACAGATATCCATATATTGCTTAAGAGATATTATATTAAAAATATATATATTTTTTGCCCAATAATTATAGTTACATCAAACCAACTATGATTTTGAAGATTACAATATAAATACAGTGAAAATCATTAAGTGTTTGGAGAAACCAACTATATTTAGTATTAAGTAAAGTAGAAATTGTTAGGACCATTTACTATACTTATTTATTTTACATACATTCCTATCAATAACAAAAGAAAAAAAAAATTTTTATGCAATAATTATCCAATACAATTTCAGATTAGATTGTCTTATGCAAAAATAATGACATGAAGAAAGAACAAATTTCAAATTAACTTTTTTAACATCTTTTGAGCAATAAATATGTTAAATTTAAGTGGACTATCTAACCACCTGATGAGCAGATATCATCTATGAAAGTCGGAGTTGAGAAGATAAGTTTTTGAACTTTTTATTTGATATATATATTATTCAATTCTGCCAAAATTGGTTTCATTTTCATTATGATCTTTTAAAACAATTTATGATTAAATTCCTCTTTTAACTGTTCTTTTTAAATTTCAAGTAATGAAAAAGATGGTTACTTTGGTCTTTGCATATGTTTCTAACCAAAATATTAGACAGGTTTTACACTTTATGGTCATGTATTCATAATTCACACAAATATTATGACTAAAACCCAGAAACTCCTTGTAGCTATTTGACAGACATATTCAGAAAACTACTTGACTAATCATGAAAATCTGACTTGCCACATGCTAAATATTAAGGAAAAACATTTTATTGGATGTTCAGATACCCAATGGTAATGATAGAGATTTAAAAAATAAAAAAAAAAAAAACAAAAAAAAACCCAAAACATTTTTTAAAAATTTAAAAAAAAAAAAAAAAAAAATAATAATCAATGTAAAAGCTTGATTATTTTAACATTTAATTTGCTTCATCTAATGCAACTTTTCCAGAAATAAAAATAAAAACAGTTTTAAAAAGAAAAAAATTAAGGCAGTTGTTTGTCGTGAGGGGTTAAATCATGACCTAATGTTGAGAGGTCAAATTCTCTCCTGAACTGCAAATGACCTTTTGAAATTAAATTTTTTTTAAAAAAAATAAAAAACAAAAAAAAAAGCTTATCTTTGTGAATTTGATACAGACTAAGGGAACTTGGACTCTTGAATGTTCAAGAGGGAAACAAAAAGAATAAGGAACATAGAGAAAAAGAGAGATGGATATAGAGAGACAAAGAGGAAGCAGAGAGGGGGGGGTCATCTTAGGTAGTTGTTTGTGGCGAGAAGTTAAATCATGTTTTGTGAAAAAGATCTGTTGAGGACATTTCAGTATTTTTAAGAGAGACTGCTTCACTTTTTTAATAACTAACTGGAAGTTGTCATGGGTTGAAAAATACAGAGTGCACCATTAAAGAATTTATTATTAAATCCATGTAATTTACATGGGTCCTGCAGGTTTTAAATTATTTTCTTAGTTTTTTCAATATCCATTTCCCCACATTTTACAGAAAATCCAACACTATAACAATTTTTAGAGAAGAAATGTTTTAATTTTTTTTTTTTTTATAAAAGTCCTAATAAATTACAACCACTTCTATCAAGTAATGTATGCATATACATTCCTTTAACATGAAAAAGGATTACAAAAATAGCAATCACTATACAAATAAACCAAATATTTATTGTACTTCATCTTTCAATCATACCACAGTATGACTGCAGATCTTCTTCCAGAAGACTAAAGGGAAATTTTAAATATTTTTACTTTGACTCTGCAGATTATGTAAAACATTTCTATAGAATATTCAGAAGAGGCAAAGTTCAGTGATTAGAGATTAATAAAATTACAGAATCTTGCAAAAATTTGATTAAAAAAATAGTGCATGGGATGTTTGCTAATTTTTTAACAATTTTGAGATGCTGAACCCAAAAATAACACCAATTCTCCTATTACAGGATACCATGTTTTATGTAAAAAAAAAATAATAATAATAATGGCCATGATTAGGGTGGGCTTATGAAGCAAAAATAAATGCTCATTTGAAGCTTAAACATAATGTTAGTGTGAAATAAAACATAACTTTTGAAATATAAATGGAATCAAACACAAAAAAGGATTAGAATTCAAATATTGAGAGCAATTGGTTGTCATGGCAAATATTTTTGTGTATTTGTTTTTTGTGAATGTTTAGATTTGTCTGGTTTTAAGTTGCAGCAGTAAGCTGTCAAAATTCTTTTGTGCCACCTTCCTTGATAACATTTTTCCATAACTCAATGGATTAGTGGTTCACCATAATTAGTGACCATTATTTTTTATTTAAAAAATACTAATTTAAAAAAAAAAAAAATTACTTTAATGAAAATGTATAGAAAGTGCTTTAATCACTCGATCATTCACAGCAAATTTGCACCCAGGTTCTTACATTTCACCTTTCATGGCAGATCTTATATTATCACAATGCAAGATATTTAACAACAAGTGATAAAAACAAACAAAAATTGGCTAGACTATATACACAAATAAATCTATAAGTAAAAAGATTTGACATCCCCCCTACTTCATGTGCATGTGTGGTTACATCAACAGAAACACTGCTTTTAGTCTGATGAAGTCCTAAAGGAAAAAATGCATCACAAAAGATTTTTTCCCTTTTGTCATTAACTTTCCTCATTTTGCTAACATTATTCTGGTATATAAAAATTTATATCAATTTCTCACATATGATAACAAGGGATGATAATAAGAGTGTAATCATATTATTCTAAGTTATGAATGGAAACTAATATAAAATCCTTTGTCATTAATTTTCCTCACATTATCATCATATAAAAACCAGGTGTTTAAGAATCGGGAATTCAATAACTTTTTTGCAAAAGATATTCAGAATTTGGATATTATAGGAAATTTGGTTATAAATAATCATTTCTTTTTTTAAATACTGAATTTCTGTTCAGCAAAATGTGGAGGTAAGTAATTTGGACTCACCATCCAAAAAGAAAATGAAGTTGGTTTGCACCAAAACATGTTATCTTTCCTTTTTTAAAAAAAAAAAGTGAAATTTGCATTATTAAAAAAAAAAAAAAAAAAAAAAAAAATTTCCCACTCCTGCTTAAAAAAATTTAAATCCTTACCTCTTCATATGTTTTAAGAAATACTGGAAACAATTGCAATGCTTCCATTTCTCTGTGGTACCAACAACTTTGCTCGCAAAATATGTTTTATATACTAACAAATATGACCCATGTTTAGTAGTTTTCTGTCTTTGCAAAAATATATAATAAATAGATAAATTAATAAAATAAAACTTTACAATATTTGATAGCATTCTTAAGAAAAAACAAGTTAAATGCAATTAAAAAAAAAAAACCTTAAAAAAATAACAAAATAGCCAAAACTTCGTCATTCAGTTCACTAAACCCTTAAGAGTAAATGTAGTTTTTGAAAGAGTATTAGAAATATTTAAATATTTTCTTCTATTTAGGTCCCGTCATACTGGTTTTCTCTAAAAGATTTAAAGTTATCAAAAGGACCCTTTAAGTTGTTTTCAAAATATTATAAAATTCAAAATTAACTAAAAATGTATTCATCATGGCAGACCAAGCATGTCCAAAAGAGAATTCACTTTAACATTGAGCCAGTTTCCTTGGTCTGTGAGAAGTCCAGAAAGCCAGTCACTTGGAAGTTGTTGATAGCCAAGTCTACAGCCCAACAAAGCACCAGCCACACAAGCATTGCTTGAACTGTCCCCACCTTCAAGGATCAAGTCTGAAATAAAATCTCTGAAAGTAGAAAATAAATATTATGACAAAGGCAATACAGTATTGTATTAAAAAAAAATTAGCATTAGTCATAAAAGATTATAGCAAAACTTACAATGCACCATGCTTTATAAACATGGCTTCCAACTACCAAAGAAATTTTCAACAAGGCAAAGAAAGAATACAAGATGTTATATATATATATATGTATTTACAATTATGTTCACCCTATACAAGGTCAAAGAGCTGCAGGTACAGAGTAAGAGGTGCAGTTTGTATGTGGAGAAGACAACAGTCGATCCTAGACATGAAGAGGTTGAGATTGTAGTGATTGGGGAGGAATCCTCTTGGGAGTTGATTTCACAAAGCAACAGTTCATGGGAAGAAGCTGCTCTAGTGGAACTTACATCTCCACAATGAAATACAAAGGGAATGAGGGTGGTTCACTGCAATGTGCATAGCATATCAGGGCTTAGCAAAAGTTACAACAAGTGGAATGAAGGAATGTAGTTCCTTTGAACGTTTTCCATGGAAATGGCAATAGAGCAATGAGAGGTTTGTGACATTTTGTCAGCGGAGAAAGGAGTTGTAGGATGGAAAAAATATAATAAAAAGTAATGGATACTTATCTAAGTTAGCAAAATATGAAAAGGAGTGTGGCCACAATGATTCTAACAGCTATGGTAGGAAAAGAGGAATATTATTTGGTTCAGATCGTCATTTACTGAAGTAAAGACCAAGTTGAAAGAATATTCATAAATTTAGTAGATGAAGACTTCTTGAAAAACCATACATTGAATAAAATTGGAATCTGATTAAATTGAGTTACTTTTGCACTGATGATAATATCATTAAAAAACATTAAATGTTAATAAACAAACTGCCCCACCCATTGTTTCACTGTAGACATGAAAGTCAATGTTGTATGCTCCCTTAGCATGTATGTATGTTACATCCTGCCAACACCTCATAGCCTCTTCCATTTTGATCATGTGGAAAGATGTAAAAATATATCAAAAGACACTACTTGGTATCAGTGAAAAAAATGAAAGGAAAGGAAGGAAGGAAGGAATGAATGAACAAAAAATGAAGGAAGGAAAAGGAATAAAACACGTTGCCAATAGCACATAAATAATGAACTGTTGTATTTTATTTGCATGTAAAGATGGAAAAGACAGAGATGCTACTTTGTTTCAGTGAGAAAAGAAGAAAGGAAAGAAAAACACTTTGTCAATACCTCATAAATAATAGACTCTTCCATTTTTGTTACAAAGAAAGATGGAAAAGACATACTGTTTCATTTCAATGAGAAAGAGAAAAAGTTAAAACAGCAAAGCCATAAATTTTCATCAGTACTAATCATTTATAAATGCCATATGCTACAGAAAACCAGGATTTCCTCCATTTTATGAACCTCAAGGGTCCTGTTTAACATTTATAGGTGAACTGTAAATCTAGTCTCCATTTAAAACCATTTCACTTCCATACTTTTTAAAAAGTTAATTTTCTCAAAAATGAAAAATTTTCAGAAACAAAAAGGCCAGATTCAGTCAAAGCTGACCACAATAGATATGAAAAATAAATTTTCCCAAGGAAAACTAAACACTGGTTCTTTTCTTGTGCAAATATATTTTGTAAACCTATATCTTTTATCCAGAATGGCAATGAATGTACACTGTAACCAAAATATTCACTTTAGAATCAATACACTCACTTCCACTTTAAATAAAAGTTAAATTTTCTCAAACCCAATCACCAGAAATCAACAGTTAAAAGCTGCAAAAAATACCCAGAAGAAATACCTTTTCCTAAAAATGATTAGTTTCAAGATTGCACAACTTCTGTGATCTATTTTGTTAACCTTTTCACAATCATATAACTCCTGCTGCTATAAATAGACAAATTCCATTAATTTTCTACAATCTTTTAAAAGCAGACAGTGAGCTAGTTGATGAAAAACATACCTCTGAAATATATTTAGAAAAAGTTGCCAGATTCAGGATTTTATATATCCCCCTAGAAAATAAATAACTTAAATGTTTCATATTCTTTTATGCTATTTTCACATTGTAATATTTATTCAGATTTAAAACATGCAATTTTCTTTTTTCTCTCTCTCTTTTCTAATTTTTTTTAATTCAATTTATAAGCTAATTTTCTTTCTTATTTAGGATAAATACCTCCCATCACAGGATTGCCTTTATCTAATGAATAAAGCTCAAAGTTTATGCATGTGCTTGAAACCTTGAAAATTAATTAAATTTATAAATTGTACTAATCTGTAACATCAAATAAATGCAGACAGCGAGCGAGTTAATTACACATTTTGTACATACTTATCCTCCTAAATCTAACCCCCTTACAATAACATTGCCGTTTCATCCGTTTGGTTTTCAATAAACCTGTTGATGAACAGGACTTCAGAGTTATGATTGCCATAAGACAATTATCTGGCTACCTGAGGTATGCATTTTTGTGAGATGGACACATAAGGGGAAGTAGAACACTTACATTTGTCTTGGATGTTTAAATCCTGTCACGATTTCTCTGCAAAATTACTGGTTATGCCATTTTGTTAAAATTAAATTAACACATTTTTCTAATGCATTTACAACATGTCATCTGATTCAGGGGTCGGTATTTTTCATCTGTTCCTTTGAACCCTGACCCTGCCTGATGAGTGCAGTATATGCAGTTTCACACAGTGGCTGGCATCTGGCTGCTCGGGTTTAAAGCGTTAAAAATGAATAATGAAACAATAAAATGCTTTATATTCTTCTATTTCAAATCATGAAATCTTATCAAGTCAAAAATTTGTTTTTTTGATAGATAAATGAAAAATCTGAACTGTTACAGTATATCAGTCTTCCTATATGAAGAATACTGGACAATCTCCTCACAGATGAAGAGACTTGAAGTAACAGAAACAAAGAAAAGAGTACTGAACTGTTACGTAATATCAGTCCTCCTATATGGCAATGGATGCTGGACAATCTCCTCACAGATGAAAAAGAGACTTCAAGCAACAGAAACAAAGAAAAGAGTACTGAACTGTTACGTAATATCAGTCCTCCTATATGGCAGTTATGAATTATAGGTTTTTAAAATAAACCGGTATTAACAAAAAACTATAAAATTCACTTCAAATATTGCTGCCATATCATATCTGATGCTCCTGCTATATATTTAGAGATTCTCAATAAAATCCAATGAAGAATCTTCAATATTATTGGCCCTGACCTGGCATCTCAGTTTCAGTCACATTCCCACTGCCATAACAGCTTCCCTGTGCCCTTTCTATAGATACTTTCATGGTAATTGTTTGCATGAACTTTACTCTATGGTACCTAGACTTTATGAATTTAAGTATGGTACCAGAAAGGCAGCAAGTTCTCATCATTTTACAGTTGAAATTGTTAGATGGAACCATAAGTTCTATGCTAACAGTTTCTTCTATCACACTTCATACTTGTGAAAATCTCTTTAGTCAGATTTGATCTTCAAAAATTTCAATACAATGACAATTGTTATCTTCTGTCTTAATTCTTGTTCTTTTATTGTCCTCACTCCCTAATAGAATTTTTTTCTCATATTCTCTAACACTTAGTAACTCTCCTTGTGTCTTAGTGGCTTTATCGCCATGCTTTGGGTGAAATGATTTAAAAAAAATGAATTATTTTAGAAAACTACTACTCCCCAAATTTATTCAACCTCTACAGCTATCATAGACTTTACCAGAATTTATTACCAGTGGGTGTAATTATAAGAAATGTAGAGGACACTGTATTAATGGTTGACATGAGAAAGAAATCTACAGAACCTCCAAGACAAGGTAGTAAGAAGAAAGCAAGAAAAAAAGGACAAACTATCAATTGCGAGAAGACAGAAAATATGGTGTCATCAGCAAGAGAAAAAGCCCAAGATGCAAATTACAAAATGGAGATGTTAACATCAAGCAGGTGCAGAAGTTGAAATATCTGGGAATCGTTTTAACAGACAATAGAAAATGTGACACTGGGATATGGACATGCATTAGATTAGTGAAAGAAGCATTCTAAATTCATGGTGCTTAGAAATGGAAAAAATTCATTAGAAACAAAGAAAAGAGTGCTGGATTTCTAAGTGGTAGCCATTCTCTTATATGGCAGTGAATGTTTATGAGAAGAAAACTAAAGGCAGTAGAAATCTGGTTCTGTAGAAGAATACTGAGAATTCCATGGATGTAGAGAGTAAGCAACAAGGAAGTCTTAAAGAAAATATCAACAGAAAGAACATTTAAAATTAGGAAAAAAAGAACTGAAATTCCTTGGTCACATAATGAGGAAGGAGAGCTTCAAAAACTTAACCTTCATGGATCATATTGAGGACAAGAGAAATAAGAGAAGGCAGTGAACCACTTACCTGGATTCTTATTTTAATTTTTAAAATTAATATCAAAATCTACAGCAGGCATTAAGAAGGTAATTTCAAATTTCCTATTTTGATGTTGGAGTGTCAGGTAATATTTAATATAAAAAATAATGACAATCAGGAAAACAAAACCGGAAATTAGGTTTCTTTTAAACTTACTTGTATCCTTTAGTTGTTTTCAAAGCAAGCACAGCAGACCCCAAAGGTTTATACGTGTGGCACATCCTGCCTTCTTCACGAACATTCAGGCTACAATTTGAAGAAAATCTAATTTAGTCTCAGACATCAATTGTGTACAACTTCAAATGCAATTCTAAATGTTACATACTACATGCAAAAACTTAAATCATAAAACTAGTATTATGATACACTATTTACATTATTCAGACTATTGTCCTCATCTTTGTCGCTATATTTATTACAACATTTCGGCCATTGTATGCTCTGGCCTTCTTCAGGTGGTTGGAATGTCGAACTGAACCCTTTATTTCACTCACTGGGGTAGGCTGTTCTAGTTCCTCAAGGACACATGGCACAGTGGATAAAAGCATTGGTTAGATCCAGTGACAAGAGCCAAAGAGTGTGAGTTCAATACCTGGTTAAGGCAGTGGAGAACTTGAAGAGGGGAATTAACAGGAGATAACTGATAACTGACATCCATTAAACATGACATGTGAAACTAAAACAGTCTACCCCAGTGAGCGAAATAAAGGGTTCAGTTCAACATTCCAACCACCTGAAGAAGGCCGAAGTGTACAACGGCTGAAACATTGTAATAAATATGGCAACAAAGATGAGGACAATAGTCCAAATAATGTAAATAGTGTACATATTACCTCATCGACAGATCGACAAATACTAGTATTACGATTATATTTAACATATGAAAGATGCTGAGAATTTCAAGAAAAACTATTATAATTCCAAGAGCTGTTCAAGACAAGTGAACTCATTCTCTGTGTTGCTTTTTCTATTACTATTTTTCAGCTGATCCATTCTTCAAATGTACAGTTTGGAAGGAAAGAAAAGGAACTCTTTTTCTACAGAAAATAATGTAGTTAATATAATCACTGGTTTGGTTCATTCCCAGAAGTGAGAGTCACCTGTGTAACATAGATAATTGCATAGGAATCATGGAGATGCTCTCCAATTCCCTCTGTGCCAAAGAAAGAAAACAACACCAAACCAAAATATATACAGGTCTGACTAGCAGACATGTCCAACAATATTTTGTCCTTCTTTAGGAAGCAGTGGAAAGACCCGAGGAAGAGGGAGTTTAAAATTAAGACAGCATTTGGCTTTTAGAAAATTAAAAATAAAATAAATAACGTATGATTTGCAAGGAATAAAATTAACTTAAACTTTCATACAAAAGCACAAGTTAAAAATTCAAACATTTGTTTGTACCTAGGTAACAATCTAGGTGAGAGTGCTGGTTCATAACAGTGAATATAATAGGATTGGTCCAAAAACTGGTTTCACCAAAACCCTTAAATTGAAACTACATTTCATTTAATGATTTACTTCCCTGAAAAACACAAACGTAGAAAATTAAAGGGAGATAACTTGTATCTGAATGGCACTTTACTTAATTATGTAATGTTTAAAAATTACACTCATTAATTTGATTATCACGTATTTAGGATAATCTTGGATTAACAAAATTCAGTTGGTTTATTTAAGAGGATTATAAATAAAATATTAATAAAATGATTAAAATACAAATATTAAAATAAATAAATAAATAAAAAAGTAAAATGAATTAATGCAGAAATCTAAAATATTTAATTTATTTACGCATGTATTTCGGATATGAAAAATATTCAAATGGGTTTGTTTTTCATTGTTTTTTTTTTTACTCATTTTAAATATTTCCAGAATAAAACCAAAATACAACATTCTTGAAGATTTCAGGGGTGCATTTATAGAGAAAAAAAGTATAGCAAATAAACAAAATTTTTAAATGATACATTTCACTATTCAAATATAAAAGTTATCTCCCTTTAATTTTCTAACTTTGGATTTTTTGGTGAAATGAACTATTTGATGAAATAAAAATTCAATTTAATAGTTTCGGTGAAGCTAGTATTCACTGTTCTGTTATGACTGTCTCCTGTCCTGGAGAGGACAAAGACACATACCATTTAGAACAAACCTTCGATGCCATCTGAATTGGTGATCATTGCATTTTCAGGCCTGCAAAAGCCAAAGTTCAGATGTGGTCGAAATACTAAGAGTATTTGTTGTATATTTGCCTAGAGAATGGATGTATTGATTTGCTGTTTTATGGCTTATCAACCTTTTGCAGATTATTTAAATCCAGAAAATATTTTTAGAATTTTTTTTAGATATAATGATTATTACTGATACAGGTTCTACTAATTAACCCATAGCTGAGAGGAGAAGTGGATTCATACCTTTCCCAAGGCTATTTGTGCACAAGTGAATATAATGACCCTGACTAGAATTGGAATTTGGTTTTACAATTTCAAATTCCACACCGTTATCCATTATACTCCAAGCTTACAGCACCTGTTATTCCTAATTGGTCACCCATCTAGATACTGACCTGGCTTGACATTGCTTAACTTCAGTGATTGTATGAGAACCAGTGTTTCAATGTGATATGGCTATAAGCCCACTAGGTATGTAGCCTATGACTATAGATCTTGAACACCTGATGAGGAAAGAGGGCTTGTAAAGCTTAATCCTCACAGGGGCATAGTGAGAAGAACAGGTGGGGGAAGACAGCGAGCCACTTACCTGATGAATTGTAATTGTTCTGATGAACTTTCCTCTATGGTGTCTAGACTTTCTTCTATGGTATTTTGTGCAGTACTAGATTGGCAAAAAGGTCTCTTTATTATTGAAATGGCTCAATGTAACCATAAGTTCTATTCTAATAGTTTCTTCTCTCACACCTCTCACATGTGGAACTCTCTTCCGGATTGTTTCCCAGTCAATTCTGATCTTCAAAACTTAAAGTGCAATGTCAATCATTATCTACTATCTCCTTAATTCCGGTTCTTTTATTCTTCTCTCTCCTTAATAGTATTTTTTTCTCATTTTCTTACACTCAGTAATCCCTTGCATCTTGGTCACATTGTTACTTTGCTTGGGGTGAAAAAAAAAAATAATAAAAACTATATATACAGGGTGCGATGGGTAAATTGTCGTTTTATATTTTTTAATTTCACGCATGCACATTGTTTTTGATTTTGTGAACTGCACAGTATAGAAGGGTTAGTTGAGCACAATCTGTGAGAAAAAGAGCACCATGATGCAATTCACACTGCCAGAAATTTGAAAACGGCATACTGTACTGCTTGGCATTCATGCCAGAAACTCCAATACAAACATTTCAGTGTTTGGGTGTCAATCTAAGGACAGTGCATAGTATTTGGAAAGAGTTGGATGAGTCTAATGATGATTACAAAGTTGCTTGGAGTGTTGACTAGTGATGGCAACATCATGCCTCCATTCATCTTCCCACAAGGCCTCAAAATCAAAACAGAGGCCTACATCAAGTGCCTTGTGGAGGTAGTGCTGTCCCAAGTCAAGAGGGTGGCTACTGGAAGAGACTATGTCTGGCAACAGGACTCTGCACCATGTCACACAAGCAAGAGAACTTAGTCATAGATGTCAGACAATTTCTGAGATCACATCAACACCTACATCTAGCCCACCTAACTCCCCAGACTGCAACCCCCTTGGTTATTATATGTGGAGTGCAGTTGAGCCAGAGACCAACAAAACTCTTTGTAAAAACCAAAGATGAACAGAAAGCAAGGGTTATAGCAGCATTCACCAACTTAAAACAGAGACTGTCCAAAAGAGTTGCAGGAGATTCCAAAGTAGACTGGAGGACGTGGTTGAACTCAATGATGATTTTATTGAATTTACTCTATAGTATTTCAAGATATTTTTGCATAATTTTGGTAAATATATCAGTTAAAATGAAATGTTAGCATTATTTTCATTTTTGTGTAATTTAGAATACAATTTATCTATCACACCCTGTATATACATGCGAATAACTACAAAAGGAAAACTTATCTTAGTCAACACATTTCATCCTCTCAGAGGACAAATCACATCAGCTAAGATAATTTTTCCTTTCACCTTTCAATCCTTTTACAGACATATTCTATATGAAATGCATCACAAATCCTTTTCCCTATTTGCCACAATATTTTTCTAAACACTGTTGATATATAAAATTATACAAAATTATATATCAATAGTGTTTAGAAAAATAGCATGACAAATTGGAAAAAAGTTTTTGTGATGCATTTCATCTGTTAGGATTTCATTAGACTGGGCTTTGTTGAAATTGCCAGGTCTACACATCTGCACAAAAGGGACACTGGTAGTTTCAAAATCTTTGAAAGAATATTTTTCAAAAATAATATATATATATATATATATATATATATATATATATATATATATATATACACACACACAAATAATTTAACAAAAACTTTATTTGGTGATGTCATTCTGCTAGACTCCTGTGGACTATTTAAAATTACCTTCTTTGTTGACCGTTTGAGATTACCTTGATTACCATGGTGGCCAGTCTTGCTTTTCCTACATTGCTCTTTGTTTTAACTCACTTTTCTAAATCACTTTTGTTATACCGGAACATACCTATTCTATTGTAATAGGCTCTTCCACATATAATAAGTAGAAGTAGTAGCAGTCGTCAGAGGGCTCAGAGTGGAGTTGGTGAGTCAGTCGAGGTCGGACATTAAAGTATCAACCCCCACAACTAGATTGCTGCGTCATTAACTATTTTTTCAAGTTCCTAACGTTTTGTACATCACCCTTTTAGGACCGACTTAGTGAAGTACAAGACTCCACTGTGAAAACTACTCTACAACAACTTTGCTTTAAATAATAACTATATAAATCTCTTTAACACATACCTTGACCACAGAATGAGGTATTCAAAGGATACATCAAGGTTACAAATGGTTAAATGAAAGTAAAGTATATTTTGACATGACAGGATTGTTCACAAAGCCAAAAAGAATTATGATCATGAAATTGTTTAATAAATGGAAACTCACCTTTCCAAAGAATTTATTTTTAATATAGATTTTAGTTCCTTTTTATGCTCATCTGTTTTCAAATGTGGACCAGAATGATGTGCAGCAGTGTTAAGCATTGCATCAACTGCTTCAGGACAATTCAAATCATGATGACCCTAAAAATAAAATAATAAAAAAAAACTGCACTCAGGTTTAACATTATTATGATTTAACAATTATTAACATTAGAAGTAAAAATATGATCTAAAAATGAAAAAATAAATGAATTTATTTTTAAATTGGAAAGCTTAAATAATCAAAAAAAAAGTTAAAAAAAATTAAAGAAAAAAAAATGCATTAAAAAAAATATGCAGCTGAAAAACTGCATTTGAAAAAACAAAAGTAGTTGAAAAAATAAATAAATAAAAAATAATCAGTGAATTACTTTTTTAAATTGGAAAAAAAATTCATGTGAAAAAACAAATGCAGTTGAAGAAAAAAAAAGAAAAAAGTGAAAATACAAAGGCCAAAAGCATGATGGGAATGATGTTACTGTTAAGAGAACAACAGCAGAACCTCATGTCATGAATGCTTCTCATCATGAAGAAATTTGTTCAAACAAATTTTCTGAACAAAAACAACAGGGGCAATTGAGTAAGAAGAAAGGTCTTCAGAGGAAAATGTAGGAATGTTCTTAGTTCTTTGATCTGTGTATTTTGTGCAAAATTGGGTGAGGTGCAAAGATTTGTGATAAGGCAGTATCAAGCCACAGCATAAACATTTCCAATGACAATGCCATGTCTCATATTAGAAACATTTAAAAACAGACAAAAACAAATTGGTGAAATTTTTAATGAGACGGAGGTCCAGTAGTGGTGCTAACACATAGAAAAGGGAAGAAACCCCAAAAGACAGTTGCCTGTTTGTTTTTATGGAAGGGGACTCCTCTTCCAAACAATAACATCACTTCCCTTCCACACTAATTTCAAATTATGTCATCAACTCTCCTCTGTACAGTTGTAGGAAAAATTAAATTTTCATCTATATTTTATCCGTTTAGTATTATGTTTATCTTCTTTTTTGTGTTAGAATTAATGATTTTTCATTGGTTTTGTGTACGAACTTGTGCACAAAGTCCTGTTGTAAAAGTTTAAATAAGCAATCATCTGGGATCCAGGACCAGATTAATCCATTTTCTATTGATCCCATGGGGATAGTTTGAGTTTACAAATATTTTGGGTCATGTACAGCCTTCAGGAACAAATTAAATTTGTTTTTTGGTCTGTAGGACTGAAAACATGAGAAATCGGATCATTTGTTAGTCACATGATATTGGTTGAATTTTAAGCTTGGAAGTCAGTTGAGAAAATTTTTGCACGGAATGTTTTTGCAAATGGATTTTTGTTTTTTATTAATTTAACACAATGGATGTTAAATTAGTTTAATTCCCACAAACTCTCAGACTCAGGAAAAAAAATGTTAGATAAATTGGTGTGTGAGGGATTTTATTTTATTTTTTTTTATTTCACAACACAACAGAACTAAACTCTGCAAAAGCGGACACAAAAGAGGAAGGGTTCAAAGGTCACACCACCAATTAGTAATATCAATATCACTTTTTAAAACTGTCTTTTTTAGCAATAAAAAAAATTAATGTTAGATACCAAGTTTATAGCAAGAGTAAAACAAATGGAAAAAAAAAAAATTATTTAACAGCATTATAAAGTTCATGCAAGTCTTTGACCCTCAGAGGTCATAAGATCAAAATGAAGAATAAGTCTGACATCAGTGAATGTCATCTGAATTAATTCAGATAAGTTACAAACAAGATGAATGCAAAGTGGGTCATGCAAAGAATCTACTTTATTTTTCAGCAATGATTACCCAACATTAATATTCCCATTTCTTACAACTCAAAGCAGTTTGTCCACTTCTTATCCCCTGTGATACTATGGACACCTACATAGAATGGGAAGAGATTGTGGCACCCTAAGACACTGAAAGGGTTAATAGATAGCCTGATAGATATATTGAGAAGATGATAGAAAAGTCAGTAGACAGCTCAATAGCCATACCGAAAAACTAGTTTCAGGTAGTTGGAAGAGAGAATGGTCCCTGCCAATCAGAAACGCTGGTGGGAGATGTGACTTTAAGGTAGCGGGAGTAGCTGGAAAGAGCCAGGCCTGTGCCCTCTACTCGCAGTATGAAATAACTTCCAAATTGGGAAAAATTAAGGATGTTACAGAAAAATTCTAAACACAGGAACTTTATTAGAATTTAGTTAATTAGTCCAAAAAATGGGAAACACCCTAAGACACCACTACTCCCCAAGTTGGAGCTGGGGCCTATAAAAAGCAGGGCACTTGCAGAAAAATACAGATGGAGAGCAAAAATGAGAGATAAGAACGATTGAGCTGTTGACGGCTGCTTTGCCTGATGCCACATGACACTTGCCTGACGAAGACCTTTGGCTTCAACCACACTCCAGAAATGTTAACAAGCTCAACCATAACAAACAACAGTTATCCCATGTTGCATTTCAATTCTTGATCTTGAGTGTCACAAACTTATACACAGGAGAAGACGAAAGAAGATGGGACCAGGTGAAAAGAGAGAGAGAGAGAGACAACCATTCCATATGACTCCTGTCATTGAAGAAAGCCTCTGACTTTGATCTATGTTCCAGAGCACTTATCTAGACTTTATCATAACAAAAAAGGGTGTCACAAAATATTTGAATGAGGGAAGGGTTGAGTGACTTTGCATGTCAAGATATGTCTGCATGAAGAATCTATAATCTTGTATGGGGAACAAAACTTGTATTACCACAGGAATGTCATAAAATATTCTTTTTCTTATCTTGTGACTTGTGCTTTTACTTGTCTGGTCCAGACTAGTTCAATGATTCGCATCAACAATTCACTCTTGCCAACCTTATGATCTAAATAAAACGCAATGTGGGATAGAGCAAGGCTTGGGTCAAAGTGATCAATATTAATAGTGGACACTGGATGGAAAGACTGGATGGACTTGCAGAGAGACGCAACGTCACCAGATGGTTTCATCTAGTCCTTAAGTATTTCTGTTTGATGGACCAGCAGATCAGTCTTCTAAGCAGCATCTACTTTGACCAAATTGGAATGGGAAATAAAGGAGTGGATGAAGGTTTTTTTAGAGATCAAGTGGCAACAAAACTGGAAACAGGTATATCCGAGTGCTGGTCTATATTAACAGTTATGCTTGGGATTGGAGAGAGTTCTGGACCACCATTGGAATGATACAGACTCGTCCGTCATATGGTTCTAGTGACATGCATTTGTATTGCCAGCCACTACATTAGGATAAGTACATGGACAAAAAGTTGGTAGGGGGAAGAGCTGACATAGCAGAATTTGTCTCAAGTATCACCTACCTACTGACCCAGACAAGGTGAATCCCTGAATAAAACATCTACACATAATGGGGGAAACAGGGTTTGTGTTCTTATTTCTAGAAGTGACATTTGTCTTTCATCACACTCTTTCTCAGATTTTGATGCACACCAAGAAGATCAAGAATTGAAATGCAACATGGGATAACTGTTGGTTGGTCAGCTTGGGTAAGAGTCGTATGGTATGTTTACACCCCCACATTGCTTGTTCTGTCATCCATTTAGGTAGGTCACTCACTGTTTACCTCTGCCCCTTTTATCTTACATTCACTTTCCTCATCGTGTCCCAGAAATTTTAATGGTTTCTTTATAATTTTAAGTACCAGTGTTCTTTATATTTCCATTTTACTTAACTTTCTCATCGCTCACATGTTCCATCCATTTTATTCTCAGTATCCTTCTGTAGAACAACATTTCTGTTGTCTCAAGTCTCCTCTTCATCTGCAAAGAAATTATCTAGCATTCACTGCCATAGATGAGGATTATTATTACATAGCAGTTCAGCACTGTTTTCTTTGTTTTAAAACAAAATTTTCCCATTTCTTGATTGTTTAGTTTTAAGAAGACATATTTCGATATACCAATGTGCCTTCAAATTTCAGTGTCACATTTTTTGTCATCTTCCCAGATAGTTCTCTGTACTTGTTTGATTTTGATATCTCTAATTTATAGCTCACATCTTGGGTCGTCTTGCTGGCTAATGGATAGATATTGTTTTATTACAATTGTGTATTTGTTCTTTCTTTCTACTTTGTCTTCAAGTTACCAATAAATGTTCCAGATTAGTCTAATAATTTTCCCAACTGAAAACACAATGGGTTCTTTACACACTAGTGTACCCATGCCATCAAAATTGACAGCAAGAAGGAATGTATTATAAGTAATATGTATTATAAGTAATTTTCATTTAATCCAAGTACAATTTTTTTCTGTGTAACAATTGAGGGGAAGTGTGTAAAATAACAATGACCCACCCACCTAAATTCAAGTTATATTAGTTTTTGAAAAGAAAAAAGAACTTTAGTTAAATAAAAATTATGAGAGACTGACATGGGTTATGGGCGACATTAGTCATGTTGAATATTTGTTTTACGAATTTAACTGTATTTTATTTCCTTTTCAGGGCCAATTAGGAAGAAATAAATAAATAAATATAATTTATGTACATATGTGAGGAACAGTGAAATGCTATATGTTTCTTTTCAAAAACAAATATAAATTGAATTTGAGTGGGTGTGTCATCGTTTGTTTAAAAGAGTCAGTACGTGTGTGTGTGTGTGTACTTCTTAGTAACAGGGAATACAAGAGATAGTTAGAATTTAGTTCTTTCGGTGAACTGTGTCGCCATAGTTTGGATTGGTCTCTTTGTAGTTTTCAGTGCAGTAGCTTTTTGCATGTGGACATTAATGGGAGTCTAGACTTCTGTGTGTCTCATGTCAAAATTTTGCACACTGCAGCCCCACTCCCCAATTGTTACACAAAAAAAAAAAAAAAAAAAAAATTAAATATATATGAAGGGGAGGTGTATTATATTTAAGGGTATTAAATTATCCACTTTTGGCACCATATGCCAGGCATCAAATATCAGTTTTGACATGAGTTACCTTGTATTTATCAGGTAATCATTCTTTAGACATTTATTCCTCTGAGTGCTGAATCAATTTTTGGCACTGAAAATCCACCCAAAAGAAGTCTAAATGTGTTAAATGCAACATTTAAGCTCTTTTCAAGAATTCAAGCTATTCACTGCAGATTAGGGCTGCCAGGCATAAACCCCTATTTTTAAATTAGAAATGTGACAGTTTAGTTTTAATCTTCCTTTTAAATGCAACAACATTATTACATTTTCATAATTGAACTAAAAGTCATTCAGGAGACTCAAAAATGACAAATGTGGAAAATTATTAAAAAAAACTGATATAGTTTACCTGAAGAATTAAGGCTATGAGGACTGTAATTGCAATACAAGCAGAAACACATTCAGGATGAACATGGGAAGCCCAACATATCCTTACAGCATTACTGGCAACTTCACTCAGGTCATAAAAATGAGGAACACCTGAAAATAAAGCATAAAACTATGAATATAGCACTTAAACATTCTTAAAGTCATTCCAAGCTAAATATCTTTAATTGCTTTCAATCAACATATTTTATCTACATAGACCTGCCAGTCACCTTTGAAAAGATGTGGGACTGATTGGCTTTCCCTCTATGAAACCTGTGAGGTTTGCAGAAATTCAGCTAGAAAAGCCATAGATAATGAAAAAAAATGTTGAAAGAGAAATTGAACAAAGGTAGAAGCTTTTTCAGTTAAACAAGGAAACCATTTTATCTGATCACCTCTGACCATACAGAAAAGTAAGAAATGTTTTAAACTGTCCTAACTGACTTTGCTGACCTCTGTTTGCCAAGTTGGCTTTATCTGTTTTTGTGAGCAAAGCCACGTAATCCTGACAGATGCTTAAGTTAGATGATTAAATGATATGCTTTGCTCTCATTTGACCATGTGTAACATTGATCTGTCCTTTTGAATACATCTCCATGGCTTTTTGCAGTCACTGTTACTGAATATATACAGAATCCATTACTAATGTATGCAATTATGGTTCTTCACAGCTTTCATTTTCTTTTTAATATTTGTGAATTATCATGACTACTTGGGTCAGTGAAGTGGCTTCTTGTTGCTTTTTCCATGTTTTTTTAATTCAGAGATTTCTTTCTCCTAGTCTGGCTGCAATACAAATTGTCCTGTTATTTAATCCATAGTTGGGGAGAGTAGGACAGAATAGAAATAGATTAATGCTTTATCCAAGGACATTAATGAAAGGTGAATGCAACAAACTTAAGCTGGAACTTGAACCTGGCTTGTAGATTCTTCTACCCAAACATATAGTTTGAAACACATGGAGATATTGTTTGAGATTTTGTTAATATTTAGTTTACAAAAAAATAAAATAAAATAAAAATAATGACAAAAATATGGCTATATTGAATCCATTACCAGGAAGGTTTGTTCACTGTGTCATGCTAGACAATTTTTCTCTCTGGAGTCTATCTTACATATCTATAAGTCTACCATTCATCCATGATTAGAATATGGCTACCACATATGGCCCAGTGCTACTAGTATTTATCTAAACCTTCTTGATAAAATCCAAAAGAAAAATCAGCAATATCATTGCCCCCAATCTGGTGTCATGGCTTCACTCACTTTCCCACCACCATAAGGTTTTGCCTTTTCTATAAATACTTTCCTTGCAATTGTTAGGATGAGCTCTTTGCTATGGTGCCAAGACTCTTTGAATTTAAGTACAGTACTAGACTGGCAACAAGGTCTTGCCAATTTGCAGTTGAGCTGGCTATATGTAAGTTCTTTTCTAAACTTTTCTTCTCTCACACTTCTTGGTTGTGGAACTCCCTTCCAGCTTCATGCTTTTCAGCCAACTTTAATCTGCAAAAATTTAAATGCAACATCAATTGCTATCTACTGTATTCCTCTGTTCTCGTTCCTTAGCAATGTTTCTGTTTCTCTTTCAAACCCTTTGTGTTTCAAGTGGCTTTACTGCTTTGCTTGAGGTGAACTCAATTAAAAAAAAAAAATCAGTTGTTTAACCTATTAACGGCAGCAAAAATACCAATCATTTGCAATTGAGGCAGGGAACTAAAATAAGAAGTTGCTATCATCAGCTGCAGACGAGACAGGTAAGTGTAATGTATTTCAAAAAGTAATTTAAGACTGCTACTTTATTCAATAAAATAAAAATTATCCCAAAAGAATCAGGTACAAAAAAATTGCCAAAAAGATTCCAAAATTTTTCCATGCTTAAATCACTAGGTTTCTGTGGCTGAAGTAGTTATGGTTATCTTGTTTTTTGTTTTTTTTTGGTGGTGGTGGGGTATTTCAAAATTTCATGTCAGCCTCTGCTTGCACCCTATCAGAATGGCCATATTTTTAGATTGTAAGAATTTTTTTTGGAGATAAATATGGTTTAGTGATACAAGTCTTACTAATTAACCTATAGGTGAGGGAGAAGAGGGGATTCATACCTTTCCCAAGGGCATTTGTACATTAAGTGAATATAATGAACCTAACTGGAATTGGAACTCAGCTCTCCAATTTACAATTCCAAACCATTATCCATTACACTGCCTGCACTTCCAAGTTTACAGAATCTGGTATTCCCAAGAAGTCACCCATCTAGATACTGCCCAGGCTCAATGTTGCTTAACTTCAGAGAATGTATGAGAACTAGTGTTTCAATATGATATGGCTGTAAGCGATAAGATAGATATTTTTTTTAATAGTCAAATTCCTTGAACTTTTGGGCAGCACGTCTTATATATACAGATAGAAAACTTACCCAGGATAGAAGCACGTGCAATTGCAGCATTATCATTATCAAGGATTTCATTCAATGGACTAATCAAACCACTAGGCATATCTGTCTGTTTCTGAGCACAATCACCATTTTCACAGTTTTTGCTTGTTGTCTTTTGATTAACAACTGTAGCAGCAATTGTATGTGGAGATCGCTCAAACCCTTTCTGTTGTAAAACCTGAAAAAGTAACAGAAGCATTTGGAGTTAATATAAGAAACAAATGTCATAAGAAAATGTTTGTATTATCTTTGATGTGAAAGATCAGGAAGAAAAGAAGAGAAGGAGCAACATTGAGTTAAATTAATTTATCCCTCATCTTGGATCTGACAAAGTTATTTTAAAATGGCTAATTGATTCAATTTTATATGGTGTGAGAAGGGGAGGCAGAAATTTTGCTATTTCCATAATTCTTGGTTAATTCAGAAAATTATGGTCAGGGGAGGGTCGATCCCAACAATGCTTTAGTTAATCCACACAATTTCATACAAGAAAGGAAAGGCTATTTTTTGTTATTTCCATAATGGTTTAACTAATCCATACAATTTCATACAAGAAAGGAAAGGCTATTTTTTGTTATTTCCATAATAGTTTAACTAATCCATACAATTTCATATTGCTAGGAAAAGAGTAGTTTTTTGTTTTTCCTCTCAATATTTTATTCAATACAATTTCATAATGCAGTGGAGTTTTTTTTTTCTTTTTTTGTTCCCACAATGTTTTGGCAAATCTACATATTTCTATATGGTGGGGGTGGAGCTAGTACACATGAACAATGCATTAATAGAAACATTATCAGATTAACAAAAATCTAAAATATGCAACAGTCCAAAAATTTCTTTAATTGAATGCAAGGTTGACTTTTATTCTGAAATCATAATTTACCAAATTACACAATTGTGTTTATGTAAATATAAAAATAAAATGTGACCGCCATTTCTGGTGACAAGCAAAATGAAAAAGGCTGAAAATATGGGTCAACAAACAGAAGAGTATTAAAAAGCAGACAAGTCCAAAGTACAATCATTTAAGTGGAAAGTTGAGTAAAAATCTAAACTGGGTTGCTTCCGGGTATAGCACAAAAATTTCAATGTTACATTTAGATAAAGTAAAATATTTTCATGCTGTAGAAAACAACAAAAGTTTTTTTTTTTAAAAAAGGAGAGCAAAAAAAAAAAAAAAAAAAAAAAAAAGGAGAGAAAATACAATATTTGAATATTTGAATCCTTGAAAAATGGTTAATATATTGTAACAGCCTCAATTTCCCTGAAATTAATATATAGAATGCATTTCAGGAATAGGAAGAAAGGAAATAAAAAGTATAAGTATGCATAAAGAAAAACACAAAAGTTTGAAAATATTTAAACTTAGAAAACTGATAACATTAAGACTGGGTTACAAAGTTATTTTTTCCTGAATAAATAATACCCAATATCTATTATTAGACTATGTAGTTGTCTAGAACCAAAATAATTATTAATAAAAGAAAAATTAAAAGTTGAGCAATAAAAAAATACCTTAAAATACAAATAAGAATGGTAATTAACAATAAAGAAAGAAAAGTTAAATATTAAAAAATGTTAAATAAAATATAAATCACTCCCATAATGAATCAGAAGAAATGTTTTACAGCCAAATGAAACAAAAGTCAAAACTTTCTCTCTCTGTTTTTTAACCACCAAAGAAGGCAGACATTCTGGACATTCTTGGGAAAACATATTGCCACCAAAAGATAAGTTTCTATTTCTGTATACATACAGGTTTTTAAAATATACAAACATTTCTCTAAAATTTTTACTAAAGCATACATTTTTATTTCTATGCTTATTTTGTTGTATATCACATGATTTTCTTTGTAATATTATAATCCAGTTGTGGTCATGTGATGGCCTATTTAATCAGAACAAGAATACACACATATAAAAAAAAATAACATTCAGACATGGCCAACACATCACCAGAACACTACAACAGATTTGTTTTCTGCGGCTATTTAAAGCCAGAAATTATTTTTAGATTGTAAAATTTTTTGGTGCGGGATAATAATGGTTTAATGATAAAAGTCTTACTAATTAACCCATAGCAGGGGAGAGAAGAGGTGAATTCATAACTTTTCCCCCAAGTATATTTGCATCCCAACGGGAATTAGAATTTGGCTCTCCAATTAACAATTCAAAGCCATTATTTATTACATCACCCACACATCCAAGCTAACAGCCCCTGGTATTACCAAGCAGTCACCCATCTAGGTACTGACCAGGCATGATGTTGCTTAACTCCAATGATTGTACAGAAACTGGTGTTGTGGCCATAAGTAAATTTTTTAAGAGGAGAGATTATTAGTCAGTTTTAGATTAGTATCTTCATCTTGGTTGTTTTAGTCATGTATTATGTTGGTTAAATAGATCTACTTCTCTCACAGTCATGAATATAACTGGATGATTCATATATATATATATATATATATATATATATATATATATATATATATATATATATATATACACACAACACAAGTTTTCAATCAGGACCTGATGATTGAATCATGCATGAAACACAAAGTTGTGCTATTTATGTACATTTATTAGTATAAACACTGTTATTAGTATAGCACTGTTATTTTGCATCAAGCACTGTTTTATTAATACTTAATGTGTAATACTATATATTTAGGTAGCAGCCTTTCTTTTATACATGTTTCATTGAATGTGACAAAAGTGTTCAATACTTGTATTATAGTTACCTAGAGATAAAGTAATTATATTTACTTTTTTTATTGTAAGACTGGAAATGATACCAGTTGTGTCACCAAGATCTGGAAAACCATGTTTGGACCAATGCTTGAGACGCTTTGCAAAGTCCAACTCATCTACAACTCCAGCCCAGGCAATAAGGGAATCCAAGACAAGAACCTGAGAAAAAGTCAAATAAAGAAATTTCTGGTTTATTCAAGAAATTGTTGATGACAAGGGGAAGCAACTGGAATGGTTTTAACAGACTAATTTTAATGACTATCAAGTAAAATAAACCAATAAAAAAAAAAAAAAAAAAAAGGAAAAAATTTGGGTGGGAATCATTTTGTAGATTAAATCTTATTAGACTTTATTCAAGCCACAACATTTGTCAAAATCAAAAAATAGATTTTTTTGCATTTTAGAAGGGAGTTCTGTTCATAATAGCGATATAAAAATCGACCACAGACTTTTTATAGAGTTACTAGAACTTAACTTTTTTTTGCATATAAAAACTGATTTTTTACCCTGTCTTTCAAGAAGGAACAAACAGATACAAATTGGGATGGGTAAATTGACACCATTTTATATTTCATACACTGTTTGTTTTTGTTGGCTGTACAGTATAGTATGGTCAGTTGGCCACCATCTGTGAAAAAAAGCACACCATGTTGCAATATATTCCACCAGAAATTTGGAAACAGCATGCTGTACTGCTTGATATTCATACCAGAAGCTTCAATATGAATATTTCAGAGTGTTTAGGTGCCAATCTGAAGACAGTGCAGAGGATTCAGAAAGAGTTGAATGAGTCTAATGGTGATTACAAAGGTACGGCAATTCGAAAAACCCACTCTGATAATTCAGATAAGAACTCCTGAATTTGTTGACGAGATCCAGGCCAAGATTGAAAACAATCCCTCCAAGTCGATCAGGTCTATAGCCAGAGAGGTAGTGCTTCCCTGGGTCAAGAGAGTGGCTGCTGGAAGGCTCCCATGTCTGGCAATAGGACTCTGCACCATGCCACACAAGCAGGAGAACCCAGTCATGGCTGATAGACAATTTCTGTGACCACATCAACCCTTACATCACGCTACCTAAATCCCCAGACAGCAACCCCCTTGATTATTATGTGTGGGGCTCAGTTGAGCGAGAGACCAACAAAACTCCTTGTAATACCAATGATGAACTGAAGGCAAGGATTATTGCAGCATTCAACAACTTAAACAAGGAGACTGTCCAGAAGAAATGCAGGAGATTCCAAAGTTATCTGAAGGCTGTGATTGAAGCTAATGGCAATTTTATTGAAATTGCTCTTTAGTATTTCAAGATGTTAAGTAATTTTGGTAAATATATCTGTTAAACTGAGATGTCAGTGTTATTTTCATTTTTGCATAATTTAGACATGATTTGTAACTGTATTTACATAATGAACAGGACCCACTCCTAAATTTAAATCAATTAAAAATATTTTTTAAAAATTCAATATTTTTCGATTGTGACAAATATGTCTTGAAGGTTCATGCTCATCTACAAAAATTTTTCCCTGAACAAAATTTCCCTATTTTTTTTTTTTACCAGTTTATTTAAGTAGTTCCCCCATCACTAACATCATTTCTGCATTGATAACCCTAGGAAAACCGTGAACAGCACCTTTTCATTATCCTGTCCCACTACCAGTCATACCTTCATAGGGATGAGGAAGAAGAGAAAAAATAGCATATATACATTGTTAGAAATGAAATCAATTAAAATCAAGAAATTAGAATTTTCACTTTATTTTTTCATCAGCTACTTGTCTTGAATAGTTGGAAAAAAATATTTAACAAATTCTTGTACTCATGTCTTCCATTCCTAACCAAGAAGATGAAATATGCACAAGTAAAAATACTCGCACTTATATGTTCATAAAACTAATGCTGCTAAAACAAGAGCAAGAACTCCAACAAAGCCTTCATTGGATGATATAGAATTATAAAGTTTTTTTAGATATGAACTAATTCCAACTTAGTTTTTATTTCTACTTATCTTTTATTTATAAAACTAAAAAAATAAATATAAGAGTTGAAATTATTTCAAATCTAATTTATTTTTTTTTTATTGATATAGTTAAAATGAAAATTAAGCATTCAAAAAGAAAATGTGAATCACATTTTGTAGATTTTGTTGTGAAATCATTTTACATATCAAAACAGAAGTTTTACAAATTCCTTATATTAGTAGTCTTACACTATTTTTAGACTTGAATCTTTGAACCTTGGAACCTATTTCCAACTGGTTACTGAGCTAAAAAGTTACAGTTCTACTTTTGCTTATGAGTAAATTTTAACTAAAATTACTTCAAATGTTGGCAAAACCATAAAGTAAACATGTCCAATTTATTTTTGCAAATTCACTATCCCAAATTAACATTTTATTGTTTTATGTTTCTAGCAAAGCATATCATAATCTCTTAGCATAGCAGTTCAAATTATGACAGTTGTTGCATGGACATTCAGTCAACTGACCAGATATCACATCAAATAATAACAAAGTATAAAGAACTCGAAAAGTAAAATAAAATTAAATACTTCAGGTACTTTAAATACAAGTGTATTTTACCAACACGGATATGCAGTTGGTGAGTTGTTTAAAGGGGAAGAATATTTTATTGGCAGAGACCCATGAAGTTCTCGGTCATTCATATACTTGGGCTCAAAAGTTTCCAACACCAGTGACCTCCTAACAGAGATCAACCAAAGACATGACCCTCCCGCATCCTTTGCTTCAAGTCATGTGCCCTCAGGACCATTGAGGGAGTGAACTGGCCTGATCTTGCATCCAATGAGGAGTTCCACTAGAGGACTGACCAGCTGAACATCCCATGTACTATCGCTCAGCACAGTGATTGCTAGCTCAGTCACATTCTGCAACCTGATGACCAGCCTATCAGAGTCATCTACCAGTTCAACCAGCCATCTGCAAACTGGCGACAACTCACGGCAGACCACACAGCCACTGGAAGGATGGCATCCATCAAGACCTCCGGCAGATCAATCTGGCACTGGAGGATGTTCTGATGCTCTGCTAAGACCATGAGAGATGGAGGGACAAGATGACTCTTAATGGATTTAATGCCTTCATAGCATGAGAATGAGCAGCAGCAAAAGCAGTACATTTCAGATTGTAAAAATAATTCTTTTTTTTTAATAATGATTTTACCAGATACAAATCCTACTTGGAATGCTATATTAAGAGAATGCTAAACATCTTCACAGACAATATTTCATAAAAAAAGAAAAGAGACAGAGAAGTGAACCCACCAGATTATCAAAATTAGATGTCCAGTCACCGGGTTTCCAATGAACACGATGCTCGTCTTGCAATATCGAAGAATAAGTTAAATCTTTCTTTTCATAATAGAATTTAGATTCATCAGGATGCATCCATCTTGTTGCTAAACCAATTGCATCACCAATAGCAGCTCCATAGATCATGCCTGCACAAACAACAAAAACATTTAAAAAAATGGTAAGGATCTTTTTCTGGCCTCATATTATAGATAAAAACTTTTAAATTTATTTTTATCGACATTGTAAAAGACCTGATTCTCTGTTTGTCACGTTATCTTCTTGTGATTTGCATGCATGTACATAATATATATGTGTGTCTGTCTGAATTTCTGACATGAGAAGTTATTACTTACATTTAGACTATTGTCCTTATCTTTGTTATTGTTATCATAACATTTTGTCTGTTATGCCCTCTGGGTTTCCTCGGGTGTATATCTATCCAGGTAACCTACAGGAAATTCCTAACTGAACCCCTTATTTAATCTATGGGGGTAAACCATTCTTATTCCACTGCCCATGTCTAGGGATATCTCATCTAGTTCTTATTTTTTATACTGCTCAGTTATCGCTCATTCGTTTCTATTGAGTGCAAGTACACACTGCCAGGCCCAGGAATTGAACTCACAATTTCAGTGGAAACAGGCAGGCAATAACTGAGCAATACTAAAAATAAGAACAAGATATCCCTAGACATGGGAAAGGGAAAAAGAAGTCTCCCCTTGTAGATTAGATAAAGGTTTCAGTTCTGAATTACCGGTAGGTTACCCAGATCAATATACACCTGATGAAGGCTGGAGATCACAATAGCTGAAACATTGTGGTAACAATAGCAACAAAGATGAGGACAATAGTCCAAGTGTAAATAGTATATGTATTTTGTTCATGAGCAACTTACATGCTTGGGCTATTTAATGTATACACACACAATTTGACTGAATTTGAATTAACATATTGGCATAATACATTCCCATCCAATTCAGTCTGGACAATCCCTACCTTGGGTTGAGAAAGAAAATGAGAAGTTGGAAACATGAAAAATAAAATCTACTTTTAAACATTAAAAGAAAAAAAAAAGAAAAAAATTGAGATTTTATTGAAATTTTCGGTTTGGTTTGCACAATTACTGGCAGATTTAATAATGTGTTAAATGAGAGTAAGTCTTCTATCTCTCCTCTTTTCACTCAATTTGAGGTGTTAACATCTTTTGCTGATAAAATAGAATGTTTTGCTTGTAAATTCTCTTTAAATTCTACTCTTGACTCATCTGGGGGTACCTTTGACTGACTTTCCATTTAGAACAGAGTCTCTATTGAGTGATATGCACATATAATTTTGTCCACGGTTTCTATCATTTCTAAACTGATATCATTTCACAAAGCATGTGGACCTGATGGTATCTCTGCAATAGTCCTTAAGAAACCTGCCCCTCAACTGGCTCCTGTTCTCTCTAAACTTTACAATAAATGCCTTGCTGCTTCTTGCTTTCCTCCTTGTTGGAAATCCTCTTCTGTAGTTCTTTAAGAACTCAGGGGAGCCATCTGATCCTTCTAACTATTGGCCTTCTACCTCTTTTTGTCAATGTACTAGAATCTCTAATTAACTCTGAATTGGTTAAGCATCTCACATTACAGGGTTCTCTTTCAGATAAGCAATATGGCTTTTGCTTCTCTAGGTCAACTGGGGATGTGCTAACAGTTATTGTAGAAAGAATCTATAAAGCTTTAGATAAGAATGGTGAAGCTTGGGCATTTTACAGGGTTTGGGTATATTTGTCTTCTTCATAAGTTGAAAGGTTAAGGTATTTCTGGACAAATTTTTTAACTGATTCAATCTTTCATATCAAATTGCAAAATGAAACTAGACTTGAATGGTCACTCTTCGAGATCTTTTTGCATAAATGCAGGTGTTCCCTAGGGCTCTATCCTTGAACCTATATTGTTTCTAATTTTCATCAATGATCTTCCTGATATCATAAGATCTCAACTCAGTATCTATTCTGATAACAATTATTTATTCCTGTCTTAACAGTAAGTCTGATCAGTTTAATAAGGTCAAATTGGTAGATGATCTCAAATCCAGGAGAGAGACTCATTGTGACTTCTCGGATTAACGATTTTTTTGCTGATATGAAATGAAAATATTATATTGAGTCATTCGCTAGGTTTGCTGCTAGGAAAGTTGGTTTACTATACAATCTTTCTGACCAGAATCTATCATACATATTTATAAGTCTGCCATTTGTCCTTGCTTTGAATATGGCAGCTATATCTAATCTGGTGATCCTGCTATATATTTAATATTCTTAATAAAATCCAAAAGAAGAATCTGCAATGTCATTGGTTCTGACCTGGCATCTTGGATTCAGTCACTTACCCACCACCATAATGCAGCTTTCCTGTACCTTTTCTATAAAAGGTTCCATGGTAATAGTTCTCTTTAGTACCTAGATTATGAATTTAAATGTAGCACTATATTAGCAGCACAGTCTCATCATTTTACAGTTGAAATGGTTAGATGCAACTGTAAGTTCTATGCCAACAGTTTCTTCTATTGCACTTTTCGCTTGTGGAACTCTTCTGGCCACTTGCTTTGCAGTCAAGTTTGATTTTTAAAAATTTAAATGCAATGTCACTTGTTATCTTCTGTCTTCTTAATTCCTGTTCTTTTATTGTTCCCTCTACTTAATGTTTTTTCTCTTTCTCATATTTTTCACACTCAGTAGCCCTTTGTGTCTCAGTGGCTCTATTGCCTTGCTTGGGGTGAAATTGGTCAGAGCCATAATTTTGTCATTTACTAAAATGTTTGTTTTGTTCAAGCAAATTCTTTTCTCTTGTAAAATAATTTTTTGATATTAGTTTTGAGCAAGATATGGAAAATTGAAATTTGAAACTGAAGTTGTCTTTACAAACAACTAATTTATTCTTGCTTGGTCAATCCAAAAAGGCAAGAAAGGAAAATAACTTTGACAAGTGATTGATGAGGAGTTCCTCTTCATTTTCTCAGAAAAAACACACTGCCATGAGATTATAAAATAACATTCTCTGCTGGGAGGTGGGAGAAGTTCTTTTGAATTCTTTTTTTAAAAAATTATCGTGGTTTCAAAATGTCTTGAGGCAGATGTGGCTTTAATATTCAATACACAGACAAATAGTAGACATATAAAAGTGCAAAATACATTCTGACAAGAAAAATTCACTAGCACATGTTGAATGGACTTTCCTAGCAGCAGGGTTAGCAATTGATTCAATATAATCATTCCACTTCATGTCAGTGGAAAACATTAAACCAAGAAGACACAATGAGTTGCTCTTCTGGAGGTTAGCATCAGCCATACTGATAGAAGACAAAAAGGTACCCCCAGACAATTAAAAGAGAGCAGTTTCATTTTGCAGGTGTTAAAATTGAGAAGTCATTTCTTGTTCTAGTTAACAACAGATTGAAAGTGATTTTCAATATCAGCTGCCAATTTGATTTTATTAAATCTCTCAGGATTACTAGATGACCAGAGCCTGACTTTATCAACTCAATGGGGAAAAAAACTGACTGGTCACATTCAATACCCTAAAAACCAAACTAGTACAGTTCCATCAAGGAGACCCTAAATTTGCACCTATCACAATGAACGGATCATCCCTCAAGGTGGCTCCTTGCTCGGAAAGACTGTTAGGGCTTTAGCTCATTCAAGACCTCAAGTGGAACTCATACATACAATTCATCAATAAAGATGATGGAAAAACATTTGGTTCCCTGTACCCCTCCAATAAATATTTGATTCCTCCTAATATGCTTTAACTTTACAAGAGTCGAAAAATGGAATACTGCTGCTATATCTGGGCAGGAGCTGTACAGTCTTCACTTTCCAGTTTTCATAGAATCCAAAAAGAGTTCTACACGGCCTTGTGGGTGATGAAATATTTTCCACTCTACAACCTCTTTTCCCATAGATGAAATGTTGCAAGTCTTTCACTACTCTATCATTATTCCCATGGAAAATGTTCAGACAAGCAACATTCCTTTGTTCCACCAAACCTGCCTTGTGCATGGAGGTGAACTAATCTCATTCTTTTCATATTCCATTAGTAAGAAGAAAGTTCTACTCAAACAGATTCTTTCCACGAACCACTACACAAACCGATTTCCAGGAGGATGATTTCCTGACCACTACAATCAGTTAACCATTATCTTTCCCCACATATCCTCATAAACTGCACCTCTTATTCTTACTACTTACAAAACAACCTCCTTCAGTAACCCTCTATCTTGAAGGGCTCTTGGACCTTGTATAGGAATAATAGTTGTATCATCAGCATAAGTACTAAATAGGAAACTGGTGACACCAGGGAAGGTCATCAATGAGAAAGCCTTGTAACGCAATGTGAAATAACTGTTTTATATCAATAAAACAGACAACTTTTGTTTTCACTAATTCTGTATGTATTACAAGAATTTTTCCTTTTTTGACCAGGCACTCACCTTGTCAGAAGTTTCAACCAACACCATCCAATGTCCTCTTCAGATCTTAATATTACACAATGTGGATGGAGAAGGTGACTGGTACAAGGCAGCCAAATGATGCCATGCCCAAAACATTTTAAAAAGAACTGCTGATATCGGAGAAATCAGGACTAACAAATTTAGTCTTACCTGAGATTCTGTCACTGACTTCCTGAGGCTCTAACTTGGTTGAGCCCAACGGGAGGAGTAGAGGTGTTTTTAATCGACTGGGTACATTGGTAGTATGTGTTTGCATCTGAATGTATTTCATCTGTAGAATAAAATGATGAAGATAACTGCTGAAGTAGAAAATTTAAAAAAATACAAACTTATGATTTTTCTATTTAAATTTTCTGATGAATCATAATACTTAAGTTAATCAGCAGTCTTCATAATGATGAGTCTTAGTTCCGAAATATTTCAGTTATTGGTTGGGTGGTTGTTTTTGTTTAGCGGCATATCAATCTCTATGGCTTATTTAATGCCAAAATCTAATTATTTTGTATGCAATTTTATTTTTTGAAGGTAACAATGATTTAATCTAATTGGAATTGGAACTCGGCTTTCCAATTAACAATTCTGTGCCATTATCCATTAGACTACCCACACATCCAAGTTTACAGCAGATGGTATTTCCAAGCAGTCACCCATCAAAGTACTGAACAGGCTTGACATTGCTTAACTTCAGTGAATGTACAGGAACCAGATTATTTTAGTAACAAGAAATAATCAAAGTTTCTTTTAAGGTCAATAAGTTTTTTTTTCTAAGAAATATCTCATTATTAAGTCACTAGAAAGACTTGTGAAGATTTCATGATTTTCCTGTTTTAATTTTCTACTGAATCCTAATTCTTAAGTTAATGACTAAATAAGCATTTTGCAAATTATATGACTATAAAATACCAGTCGTTGTTCGCCTCTTGCATTGTTAAATATTTGAGTTTAACAACTTTAACCAAATATTACAACAACAATAAGTATGAAAACAGACCATTCTTTAAAGAAGTAAGTGGGTACAAATGAAAAGATTCAAAACTGACTAGGTTTTCCATTTCACTGAAGCAGACGTTAAATGCACGAGAGCATTATCGCTCCCTCTATCTTTTTCTTTGTCTCTTATTATGTAGGCTTTCTTTTTCTCACTAAAACCAAACAGCATCTCTGGTATCTTTTTTTTCCATCTTTACTCAATCAAAACAGAATAGTCCATTATTTACCTGAGGTCAGGGCCAGTGAAAGGGTCTCATCATCTCACCTCCACACACACACATCCTGAATATGTGATATGGGCCTCCCCACTCTACTACATCTGAATTTTCATAAGGTAGTATTCAAATATGAAATATAAATTTTATTGTAACCTAATTCTGTACAATAATGGATCATATGCAATATAGGTGAACAGTTCAACTAGAAAAATTAAAAATAAATACAATGTAAATAAAAATACAAATTAGAGACATGTCATAATAGATCATTCCATTTTAAATAAATTTTTTGCAGCAATTTTTAACATCAACTTTATAAAATGATTTTAACGCATTTAACATATGTATAAAAAAACTGCAAATTTTATATAGTATTTTTTTCAAGACATCAGGAGTAAAACAAATTCAAAGAAGTAATAAAAAGGCCCCAGAATGATGTCAACAATTACAAAAAATTTTCATCATTTAATGGTTAATTGTGCTTAGTTTAATTTGTAAGGTATATAAATGTAGATAGAAAAAAGAAATGTTGATGAGATAGCAAGGGTCACAAACCACTGCCTGAGGACCCAATCAAGTTTGCCGTGCCACCAAGGAGTAGTATGAACTCGACCTGTCTATTTAACAAATACACTAACTTACTAACAAGCAGAATGAAGATTTCATCATCTTACTTATTATAAAATGCAGATTTTGTGTGTGTGTGTGTATCTGTACGTTTATATATTGGATCGGATTTCCAACATTTTTCAACCGATTTCAACAAAACTTCACAGGACTACGTAAAATTACCTTGCGGTGGTTCTAACAGTGCCAAAAATTGGAAAAACAATTGTTTTTGCACGAAATCAATTTAAAAACACAATTAAGAGGCATCACAAGAATGAAAGGGGGACAACTCATATCAAGTTATACTTATTATAAAACCCAGGTTGTTTGTGTATGTGTGTTCATTTATACATGGGATCAGATTTCCTACATTTTTTAACCGATTTCAACAAAACTTCACTTTTTTTTTTTGACAGGTAGTGTTTATTATTGTCTTGCACACTTTTTTCTTTATTTTTAAATATAGAATGCTTTAAAAATTCCATTTACAATCGGTAGATTCATAACGATTGAAAACAATGTTTTTGTTTGAGTTTGGGTTTGACCAATTCGTAAAAAAAAACAAAAACTAATTAAGACATTTATGTCCATCAACCTTAAACAATAATCTTTGTCAATTTTATTTTTCAGTCTTTATGATGGTCGATACTTGATCTATCTCTTACTGTTACATCCCCGGGCAACGCTGGGCTCTACTGCTAGTCTTGAATAAACTTACTAGCTAGACAAGACTCAAGATTAGTCAATGTTTTTTTTTTCTGTTATTTTTTTAATTATTGAGCAGAAAGTTCATCATAACCTGAAGCATTTCAACTACATGGTGTCCATTAGTGTGACATCTGTGTTTCACTTGTTCAACAATAAAGCAGTCTTTCATTTCAAACCTTTTAATTTAATGATTTATATTCTTTATTATTATTACAGATGGCAGTAAAGGAAAGAGAGAAGAAAGGACTAACCATAAATTGTAAGAAGACAGAATGTATGCTTGTCAGCACAAGGGACGGGTCAAGATGCAAACTACAAATTGGAGATGCCAAAATTAAATATATACAAAAGTTTAAATATCTGGGAAGTGTTTTAACAGGGGACAGGAAGTATGACACTGGAATCAGAAAACACATTGGGATAGCAAAAGATGCTTTCCAAAAGCTAAGCAAAGTATTAAGAAACAATAAAATTTAATTAAAAACAAAGAGTACTGAACTGTTATGTAACATCAGCCCTCCTATATAGCAGTGAATGCTGGGCAATCTCATCACAGATGAAAAAGAAACTTGAGGCAAAAGAAATATGGTTCTACAGAAGGATGCTGAGAATATTATAGACTGAACATGGCAAGGTTTTAGGGAAAATGGAAACAAAAAGCACAAATTCTTAAAATCAGAAAAAGACAGTTGAAGTATTTGGAACACGCGAGGAAAGAGGGCTTACAAAATTTGACACTCACAGGATATATTGAAAGTAAAAAAGACAGAGGAAAGTAGTGCATAACCTATCTAATAAGCTAAGGAAAATGCTAACTGATAAAATCCTCTGGCTGTATGATTTTCCTTATTGACCAAAGGCAGTTGTTCACATAATGTAAGTAGTATGGTTATGGTCCAACTTTAGTAATGATAGTAAGAGGAACCCAGACAAGCGAATTATAATGAAAGGGCTATACAATATTGAAAAGTTTAATATGTTCAGTATTATTTCTACATGTCGTCCTTTTATTTTTCTTAATCAAGTCACCCAAGCAAGGCAATAATGCCACTAAGACACAATGAGCTACTGAGCGTGAAAGAGAATGAGAAGACTTTATGAAGAGTAATTGGCCATAGTTAAATGTAATTGGCAGAAATGCCCAACAAACAAAATTGATAGTTTGCAATAAACAATAACAAGAGACAGAAAAATAAACAGGGCAAAAATAATACTAAGTAAACAATATATGCAAAACAAAAGTAGGCAAAGCAACAGTAATAAGGCAAAAGGTTCACAAAGTAAGAATGGGGTTAACACATAAAAGGGGATACAGACAAGGGATCACAGTGTTCTGGCCCCAAGACAAGAAAAAACAGAAATATGGCAGATGAGACCAAGAAGTGGCCTATCTTATTGGTGAGAAAGAAATCTTGTAAATATTGTTTATATATTTGTGAAGGGGGATATTTTTGCCATCATTCCAAAAAGATTAGAACCAATACTTTAGAAGGAATTGGAAACCCAATCCTAAACTGGAATCAAGGGATAAACCTCTACTCCTGTTCAAAAGCTAGGAAGGAATGTAAATGAGGATGTCATAAAGGATATCAGTGAAGATATAAAAGGTTGAGTCATAAGTAATTTTTGTTTTGAAGCAGAAATTGTAATGATGAGTACATTATCCTAGTGCCCCTTAAATATATCATAGGTAAGGTAAAATGAGTTACTGTTATATAGAAATAAAATGTTGCTGCCGAGACTGGAGTTTGAACATAGATCACCAGAGAGCAAACATAGGCAATCCCATTTTGAATAAGTAGATCACATGATGGTAAAGGAAATGTATATATGGGAATTAGTGTGGCATCTAAGTGATCACTATACAGATTACTATTTGGTGGTTACTTTTCGAGCAAGTATTATCAAGCCAGTACTATTAGTGCGAGTACTATTCAAAGGTATCTGATACTAACATTGTTCAACGGTGTTACTGTAGTTATATCTGTAATTAAGTCTAATACAACGAGCATTACAAAAGTAACAATGAGTATTCATTGACATCACAAAAGTTACATACAACAATATTCAACACAAAAGGCAGAGGACTGACAAGGATAAAACTTCCCAAAAGCTGATCTCCATGGGAAAAAAAAAGATAAAGTACATTTCGTGTGATCGTCAGGCTATTATTCCTTTAGAATTCTTAAAAAGCAATGAAACACTAAATGCACATTTATATGTCCAGCAGCTGCAACATGTCCATAGAAGTCTGGTTGAAAAGTGCCTTGCCCTTGTCAATAGGAAATATGTTGTTTTTCTCCATGACAATGCAGGAAAAAATGTTTGAACTCTGTTCTACCCTAAATTCTCCTGACCTTCCACCAATTATTCATTACTTCTTTCAATTGCTGAAAAACAATTTGATAGGGAAAAGTTTCTCTAATTTAAAATAGATTCAAATATTTGTCAACAAAACCTGAAGAATATTACTTAAAAGTTATTAAAAAAGCTGATGGATAATTGGCAAGTCATTGCAAATAATGATGAATATATAATTGAATAAAACTGAAAATGTTTTGCCCTTCAGAATCTCTGCTATAAATAATTTATTGATGTTTTGAAAAAGAAATATTTTGTTTAATAATCTAACTTAATCCTTTAATAAAACAATTGGCTTTTGTTAATAGAAAAGTACCTCATTTCCTTTTCATAACTTGGAATAAAACCAATATAAATCAAACCGACCAATGGGCAGCTTAAACTG